CACTTTTGTATCATTAGCATATACTATAAGACTTGTAAAGAACAGCAATGTGCATCTGCTTATTAGACAGCTAACAAAAATATTTCCATATAAAAAGCCATTAGTGCACATCAAAACAAGCTATTCCTGTTAAACATCTGTCTAAAGATCAACAGAGTGATTAGAACATGTGGTAAATATCCTCCACCTCTTCAAAGGCAATATTGCACACAAATTGTAACATTTGCTGGTGTTGACCTCAGTTTGTATTTTTCAACAACACATTAAATGTTCGTGGAATTATTTATTCCTCTACTAATGTTCCAGCACATTCTCAATTAGCATTAACAGAGGACAGGCGCTCACTAGGGAGAAAAGAAAACTGGTAGCCACTCACTATAAATAAATCATGATACCAGGTGGAGCTGAATATTACAGAGAAGGACTCTTGTAATAATAGTGGACAGTACTAAATCTATTTCCCAAATCACCATTCTGTCTGAAAAGAGGCTCTCCACAGATTTTTTTTTTTTACATTACTGACTACACTCTGGGTTAGATTATCCCTGCCTGTCTTTTCCATCACTGTACCTTTCTGTCACAAACAAGGCTCCCAGTGCCCTCTACCATTCTGACCCTCTATTACCCAGCCCAATCATCTTAGACAGGTGTTGAGGTACAGTAATAAACTCTCTCCTGATGGAGCCGAGGCAGCCTCTCTTTTAAAGCACCTCTGAGAACTCTGAAATGACTGAACTCTGTGTTGATCAGGTGCTGTGGCTACAGTTGACTCGTGGCTGCCAGCTGAAAAAAAAATTACAATCTCAGTTATTGCTCTGTATGGACTGTATTAACAAGATCAAGTGTGCTTAGAGTTGGCTTGGCAAGGCTGCCTCTGCAATGATTTGACCATATTCTAAAATAATAATGACAATAAACTGTTTATGTATTTATTGCTAATCACAGGTTTTGTTATAATCACCCTCATAGCTTTTAGTATCTTCCACTTGACACTGTTTACAGTTAAGAAGTAAGTGAAGTTGTCAGTAGAGACACTGAGAGAAAATTAAAGGCTCAAGTTAAACTCGGTTCCCTGGCTCTTGCTGTATATCCATGCTTATAGAATATATTACTGCTTAGCTCTGTTGCTAATGGAGTCTTTTCAGTCACAAGGATATGCCATCACTGCATCATAAACTCTGTAGAGTGATAGCACCATAAAGTCCATGGGGGATACACAGCCTGACTCCAGAGGTTTATCACAGCTTCAAGCTGCCTATCCAAAAATTAACATTTTAGAAAAACAAAACAGTGTAGAAGATGAAAGTGCTTAGTGATATTAACCATTAACGACTGTTTAACCTGTAGGCCTACATTTCAGGCACTGTTGGAAGCTTTCATAACAACTGCCAGGAGGATATCAGTCAGTTTAAACATATAGCATATGCACTGTCCACCCGCACCAGTGTTTTCAATTATTCTGTCTGATTAGACTTACAGTATGTGCACAGGATTACTGAGTGTTGGCACAGTAAATGCGAGCTGGTTATTGCATAGGTAATGAGCATTGGACTAATTCTGTTTACTCTTGCAGTGTGCGTTTAATCTTCCGCTTTTACCTATTACTGCATAGTGGCGCTACTGTATGTAGGAAAAACTCAGAAAGGCAACGGTTCATTATTAAGTTTCATAATTACTTTTGCCTTCTATTTATTACTCTTTTAGATTTTCATAATGCGTTTTCTATTTCAGACACATTGTGCACATTGCTAATGACTGGTTCTTGATGTGTTCATTCATCCTTTGTGCTAAAGCAATCTGCTCCTCCAGTTCCCTCTGTAGCTCCTTCATCACACATTCTCTGACTGGAAGAAATAGCAGAGACTAGTGTTCATTGTTGCTGTATTGAGCATGTGCTGAATTGTGACCTAGAAAGATTCAGTGGACCCTTCGAGCTGAGATGGTTATTAAGCTAAATTAGCCTACATACTGCAGGCAGGGGTCAGGGTAACCAACAGTGGCAGCTTGCACAGCTTACTGTTAACACTTGGGAAGGAATTTTAAAATGGAAAATAAGCAGGGTCATGAAACCTAGACTTGCAGGTGATGTTCAGCAACAAGAGACTATATTTTTGTGGTTTCTTTTATCACAGGATAATGTTTGTCAAACCGTTTTCAAAAAAAGACAGTAAGATTTATTTAAGTTGCAAAGACTGTTCCCTAATGTTGCCAACAGTCTGCACTAGTGTCATGGCAGGCTTATAAAAACATGACTCTTTTTTTTAACTCATTGATTAAATTTAGTCCTCACTTAAGTAATCAAGCAAACAAAGCTATTTAGCCTCCTCTGGGCCTAAGAACATCTTACATTAACAACTCAGTGAATAAAAAGTAAGCAAATCACAAAGCAAACTGGTTGAGTAATTCAAGGATTAGAGAATTCTTACAGCCCAATTCCCTCCAGGCAGTCTGCCAACAGAGAAGCAGTCCAGGTGCTCATGAGGTGTACAACACCACAACTGGCAGATCTGCAGAGAAGCTCAGTGACAGATGAGCCAGTGCCATGCATGCAGGCATGTGCAGCCAGATTCAAACACAGGTGGTTTGACATATCAGCATAAAATCTCTCTGTTAGGAGGTAAGGCCTGAGGAGCTAGGTATGTAAAATGCAGTGGGAGGAGGAAAAGAGCAGCATCTAGTCATTTTTAACACTCTTTTGTTAAAGAGTTTTATTCTGTCTTATAATTTATAGCTTGTGATGTTATTCAGAATTCTTAAATTTGATTTGAGGGTTATGTGATCATGATCAAATGATCTTATGATATTTAGACAAGATTATCAAGCTCATGGATGCCAGTTGTCACATTTGTCTTCACCTGAGGTCAGAATAGTAGTCCACCTTTATACAGTGTAAGTATGTGCTGCAGTTTCAGTCTGAGACTTGATATCTCTTTTCAAGTTAGACAAGGAATGAAGATGGATTTTACTTTGCGACTTTGTGTTGTTGATACAACTGTACTCATTTGTAGTCATAAGAGCTTGAAAGAAGCAAACACTGCACATAATTATAGAGGCAGAAAAAGGGGATTGTGTTCCACAAATCTCAGGGTAAAACTACACTTTCTCTGCAATTATGCACTGTAGCAAACCCATATGAGCATGTCTGAAAAAACTTTTTGGAGTTCAAACCTCTAGGCTTAATTGCTGAATGTTTTGGGGACATGTACTGTATCATTTACAAACTACATGAATGCTGAGTGCATTCATTTTACAATAGATTGTTGTTCAGAGCAGAAAATGCTGATTGAAGGTGCTGAAAAGTCAAGTATAGGGGAATGTATGATTTTAGATGTTGTCAGTAAACCAGTGTGATTTCATCTCAAGTGTTTTCTGTTCATCAGACACTAAACACTGTGGCTGCTGATGGCAGAAGCACTGAGGTTAAATTTGATGAATAAAATGCTTTTATATGACATATTTCCACATGGTAGGTGAACATTTATTTTTGTTTACCATGCACTGAAATTAAAACAAGCATTAGTGTACAAACATCAAAAGCACTGGGTTAAACGTTTGTACTGTAAAGCTATATGTCTGTGTTCATATCACTGACCCTGGCAGCTACAGCACAATATCAAGACAAAATGAATCAGTCATAGACTGTAGTCATGTACAGCAATCGTCACTCATCCAAGAGGTGTCTTCAGCGGTTGTCTCACAGAACTGAAGACACCTCTTTTAATGACTCATGACAGATTTCCAATGTTACAATCTCATTCTAGTGGATATTTAATTTTGCCTTCAAGTACTGTAGCGTTAAGCTAATTTACGAGACCTGTCCATGGGAAGCCTTGGTGGAAATACAAACAATTGCAAAACCAGGAATAAACTATTAAGGATTTATGGATGAAAGGTACTGCTAAAACTACCTTTGGTTTGGGGGAGGGGGAGGGGGTACATACTGTATCAGTGGAATGTAAAGTATTTGAAAGTTTTGTGCATTCTAGTATCATATGAGCGGTCACAGAGATTTATAATTATACTGAAGTGATACCGATACATTTGGCTAAGTATTTTTCACACTTCTATCAACTTTTGTCTAAATAGTATATGTACTGTATCTGTGAAGAGGAAGATCAGTGTACTTTTTGCAGTTGTAATGCTTCCAAAAGTACCAAAACATGAGTAATAATGAACCCTAAGTGATGCAGTGGTGGTGCTAAAAGCCCTGTGCTGTTGTGCCACCAATGATGTGTTTTAATGTTTTAACCTAGCTTTGTTTTGTCCTGTTGGAACAAATCACTTCAGATATAGTTGTTTGGCCATTACCTGATTCAGAAAGTTTTGATATGTCCAAATGTTACTGTGAAGTGTATGTGGGATAAATACAAAAACACTCTTTAGCATTTTCCAATGAGTGCCTGCACTGTTATTGTCAAACGTTGACACAAAAAATGACTCCCTTAGGTGGAATAAAGAGACTATAACCGTGCTAGCAGCTCTGTACTTTGGAGCAATAATGCTTTGGGCTAAATGCTATGGAAGCATGCTGATATTTTCCAGGAATTATATTTCCTGGGCGGCGCAGTGGTTAGCACCGTTGCCTCACAGCAAGAAGGTTCTGGGTTCGGGCCCCACCCGGGACCTTTCTGTGTGGAGTTTGCATGTTCTCCCCGTGCTTGTGTGGGTTCTCTCTGTGTACTCTGGCTTCCTCCCACTGACCAAAGACATGCAGCTTAGGTTGATTGGTGTCTCTAAATTGCCCGTGTGTGTGGTTGTTCATCTCTGTGTTAGCCCTGTGATGGATTGGCGACCTGTCCAGGGTGTACTTTGCCCGATTGCCGGCTGGGATTGGCTCCAGCCCCCCTGTGACCCCATTCAGGGACTAAGCGGTAGAATATGAATGAATGAATTATATTTACCATGTTAAAGTGTTAGCTTACTATCATTTGCTAATAAGCAAAGCATAATCTGACAGTAATGGAAATTTCACTGCTTTTTCTCCCTCTTTTCTATTGCAGGTGGTGGGTGAGATCGATAAACTAACATCCGACTTTGACTTTGACCTGGAGCCAGATGACTGGACAGTGGCCACAGCCAGCAGCACATCCAGTAGTGAGCGGGGCTTGGGAGAGGCCTTCAGGCTGGACTTCCTCAATGCAGATGTGCTTTCAGATAGCTGGGAGTTCTGCAGCTACCTGGAGGCAGCTGGCGCAGCTGCCCGCAGATCTGGTGAGCAGCCAGGAGATCTACGATCACAGCTGGGCCGCGGGACAATCCCTACCCAGACGCAGACCCCCACCCCGCCCCCCACCACTGCCTCCGTCTACTCCCAGATGAATGGTGGGCTGCCTATTCCCAATGGGCCCCGTATTATTACTCCAGATTCATCCAGCGAAGAGGCCAGCAGCTCCACGCACAGCCACAAGACTTCCCGTACCTCTGGCACAAGAGAAAGAGTGCGCTTCAGTGACAAAATTCTGTACCATGCATTGTGCTGTGATGACGATGAGGAGGAGGAGGAAGAGGAGGAGGAAGAGGAGGAGGAGCAAGAGGAATTGCAGGAGGACAAGAGTGGCTGTGCTACACCAGACAGCGATACTGAATCAAGTCTTCTGGCCAGCTCAATCACACCCAAATGTTCTTCCTCTGAGCACTCACTCCTCCATAACTGTCTGGACCCTTCTTACATCTCCTCACCAGTGAAGGGGTTGACAGGAGGTCACACACTACCCAGGAAAGGTCTCTTAAACCCCGGCTGCCGCAAAAAACTGTTACGAAATAGCAGCACACAAACTGTCTCTGACAAGAGCACCCAAACTGTACTGCCCTATATTCCAGCCAAACAGAAAACAAAGGACCACTGAAAAAGCCCTAAGTTTATCATAAATTTCATGAAGAGAACTGTGCATTATTTAATATTAAATACATAGCTCATAGATTAATACACAAATAAATTAATTACTAAATAAATAAATGATATATGGGAAAATCACTCGACTACCTAAAGTCATTCTGAGGCTCAGGGAAACACAATGACATGAAGCAAAGCAGATCATTAAAATGAAAGTTAGTGGTCGACCAAAAGGTTAGTGCCTGTTAAAATATACAAATATGAATTGGTTCCATATTTGTAATAATTTGAAACACTGACAAGGATTACAAAAGCAATCATTTTTACTGGAAAATTGTAAGTGTTCAAATTTAGAAGTGGAGTATGAAGAATATGAAGAGGTCCCTTCACCTGTTCATACAATAGTATAAGTCACAAAAAAAGGAAGAAAATGCTTGTTTATTTGTGTGGATACAAAACAATGCACATTCTGTATTCTGAATCTGTATAAACATTGTCTTTTTTTCATGTTCCAGTTATTTCAAATGCCAAGCGGATTATTGCTTTCAGCTGAGAAATGTATCTAGATCGACATGTCAAGCCTCTTCAACAGAGCTTTGAGCAGAGCCAGAAAACACTATTTACCTGCACTTGATTTTATAAATCTTCTAAATATGATCTCTTCTCGGTCTGCTGCAAAGGCTGGAACAGAAGAGCGGAAGGCATAAAAACACATACATAAAGTAAGTTGAGAATGTGCTGTCTACAAAAGTGACAATTTCCAATTTTTCTCTTCCTCCGTGCTTAGTGACATCATTAAGCTTAGGATCTGAGTTAAAGACTAGTTCACTAAAAAGTGCTAAAGGTTTTGTCATTCCATTCTGTCACCCAGTGGGGAGCTGAATTCAGCAGAACAGCATTTTATTCACAGGGCTAATGCCAATAGCCGTTCCTGATCAATATGTTAGAGGGAGGCTGCAGTGAGATGTTGCTCTGCTGAGCATGCATGCCACTCTCCTGGGGATCTTTGAACAAAAACTCACAGTCAGACCTATTTACTTACACTGAGTGCAAGAAAAATTAGAACTGTGGCCTTAAAGAACTGACATTTCAAAAAATGTGTGTCCAGGAGTGAAAGCTGATGGTGGAAAAAGAGTGTGTTCCTGTTCAAAGATTTTTTTTTAACCAAGCAATAATCTACCCTGGGGAATGGCTTTGTTAGTCTACTCCCCTGGTCCCTTCATCCTTACTTTCCTAATAGTGTGTTTTCCAGTAAAATGCATGAAGCTGGCCTTTGTGCCTCTGATCACCTAGTGTGACCTTAACCTTCCCCAGTAGGGTGAAATGGTCGAAACAACTTATTTATTCACACAGAAAGATACTCTTTCTCTACTCTACAAACATATGTGCTTCCTTGCTTGGTAAGGGAGTTTGATGAATTAGTTGATGTGATGCAACGGTGAAGCAGATACAACGGCTGAACACTGAAATGTTCTGACATCCATATCTCCACACATGCACAAGCTAGGCGTTTTAACCATCATGTTTTAACCTACAAATCATAGGCTTTTTGTTGCTGGAAGTACTTTTTATGTAATTGTCTTTCTTTTTATTGCAACCAACAAGTCAACATATTGGTCAGCATACAGTATTTTACCAAATTTGTGTAGAAAAGCCAGGTTCAGTCAACAGAAACGTTCTCAGATGACCTACAACTGGTCAAAGCAATTTATTGGGATCAACAACCATAACTTTATTAGTATAATTCATGCTATTGTATCCCAGCATATACTGAAAGATATCCACTTACAGCATTATAAGGTAACATTTTAAAAACCATTTAAATCTCACTGTGGTGCACTTGTAGGTTTTACAGTTTTGACAGACTGACAAAGGCAATCATAGCTGCTAAGCTAAAATAAGCTTTGGTATTGAACAAATTGCAAATTTTAGTGATTTTCTCATGTCAGCATTGCTAGCCTGGATAAACTTTTTCAGTGATTCTCCACTTCAGTCATGCTCTGGAATGTGCCCGGTCATCTACTACAGCACTATATATTATTAGGTGTCCTGGAGAATCCATTCCAGCCCACCCCTTTGTTGTTGTTTGTGCATGTATAACAGTTATTGCAAAGTGCACTGCTTAGGGGAATTACAGCTGTGCTGTTTAGGCAGCATCAAATCTCAAGAGCCCAATATAAGGAAGCAGAGTGAGCACTTTTACACCAGGCAGCCTGGTATAAGTTGCACAAGCATCAATTAGCCTGAAGTTGATGTGCTATACATGGATTTAGCAGAGGTAATTTGGTGATATTTATTTTGTTCTAGTTTTTGTAACATTTTATTTTGTCTTGCTCTGGCCCAGTTAATTCCATATACAGTACCTATGAAGAAAATGGCACTGAAGAAAGATCAATGGCTCACTCCCCAAAGCACTGGCTGCCATTTTCCTACTAGTCTGGGGTCCAACAGGTCATCATAGCCATTAGTGTAAACAAATAAAGCTATATGGCCACAAAAACAAAGCATAAATTACAAGAAAACAAACTAAGTCCTTATGTGATGTCTATATACCCAGTAGACATTTCAATGTGAAATGTTGTTTTTTGTTGTTGTTGTTGTCGTTCCTTTTCTAGTCTAAAGATTTTATGTCATATTTGTGCATGAAGTCACCTCTCCAAAGGGAGGCGACAGTGGTGCGGTGGGTAGAGCAGTCATCTCCAACTGGAAAGTTGAAGGTTCAAATCTCAATGCCTGCAATCTACATGTCAAAATGTCCTTGGGCAAGACACTGAGCCCCCCCGTTGCCCCCAATAGTCAAAGCCATTGGTTGAGTTGGTGCCGCAGATGGCTGCCAACAGTTCTGTACTGGAAACAAATTCCTTGTGTGTAACATACTTGGCCAATAAAGGTGATTATCCTTATCCTTAAATACAGAACAGTTTGGCACTGTCACAGAATATATTGTCATTGGGAGCAGATTTGAAATATTTGGACAAAACATTAGCAACATCTCTTTTGCCAACAGGCTTGTTATTCATCTCTAATAGTGCATAGCTTTGTCCTTGGTTCACTGCAGGACACGGATGGGAGGCATCCAGAGGTTATGAAAACCTGGGCACACTAATGTCAAATGCATACAAAACACACTGTGCATTTTGTATGTGTGCATAGAGCAATTGGCCATAACATTATGACTACCTGCCTAAAACTGTGTACATACTGTAGGAGTCAATGTAGCAGTTGTCTGGCACTCATGTCACTCTGCAGCTCACTGCACATCTTGCGTGAATCTGTTTGTTTCCATACTTACACTGTCAGGAAGAACACATGTGTGTCAACCATTCAGCCAAAAGTTTAAGCAAAAAGGAGTGAAAATTGTGGTTGTGCGGACAAGTTAGAGAGAATTTTTAGACAGGTTCAACAGCCTCCCCGTGCTATTTTTCATATCACCACTATAGCTGCTGAATGTATATTTTAATAGTGACCAGTGTATGGTATTTCTCATTTTCAACCATTTTAACAAAGATTCAAACAAAACTGAATATTTTGAAAAGGATTAATGGAATTTCAAAGTTTAATCTACCTTATCATCAGTGAGCCTTGGGCGTCCATGACCCTGTCACTGGTTCCAGAGCATATGAGCAGTGAGAATTTTCATTACTAGCTCATGGAGCTGTTCAAAGCTGCACCAGGCCGCTCCACTCAGTGTCGCTCAGTGCTCAACTCAGATTGCATCGTGCTCCACTCAGATCGCATCCACTCAGTTTCCTTTTTAAAGGACTTTAAGAACTCTATTGGTGAGCTCACAACAGACAATTTTTGACTGAAAACTGCTGGATGACTGTGCAAGACACAAATGCATTCTGGGTTGGGCTTGGGCATGTTTCAGGCTTGTGGTGTGAGCGGCATCAGAACAAAACTGGAGCAGAACTTAGGTAGACGCTCCCTCCTCTGCGCTCTGAGCTCTGTCCAAAACTACCACGCTCCTGATCCCCACTCGTTCTCACTTTACAGTACTCACGTTCTCTGTCCAGTTGACTCTCTGTCCTTCCTTAGACACTGTAGGTAGGTACTAACCACTGCAGACCGGGAACACCCACCGAGACCTGCAGTTAGACATGCTCTGACCAAGTTGTCCAGCCATCACAATTTGGCCCTTGTCAAAGTCACTCAGATCCTTATGCTGCCCGTTTTTCCTGCTTCCAACACATCAACTTCAAGGACTGAATGTTCACTTGCTGCAGGTGCCACTGTAACGAGATAATCAATGTTATTCACTTCACTTGTCAGTGGTCATAATGCTATTGCTGTATGTGAGTCTCTTTGCATCTGCACATTGTGTGAGGAGATAAGTAATGTTTCCTGAATTATACATTGGCTCATGTTTAATTTCATATTTCACTGTCACAGCAATTAATGGAAATCAATACAAACAGATGCTGCACATCCCCCTGGAAGTCATTTGGCCAGACTTGTCCACAAGACAAGATTAAACAAAATCTCTTTTAGAAGGCTGCAAAGTGAGCCATGCCATCTGTGTTTTGACATCAGCAATGGGTATATATTAGTTTACATCACTGATCAATCCTCTAATCACTGACAGTGGGACACTCTGTTGAGTGACTGACAAATAGTGGGAAGTAAAACTGGTTTAAAAAGGTGATTATGACACCAAAAACACAGAAACATATGGTACACCCCTTGCCCCTTCCTTACCTACCCTTCACATACTATATAATTACCACAATTCACTCTCACTGCCCCTTGCCTCCATCAGGGAGCAGAGGAAAAGAGATGACAGATATGTGTTTTCGCTGCTGATTGGTAAGGGTCCATGAAGCAGAGAGCTCAGTGCAGTCTCACTGATTACTATAGATTGGCTAACGGCTGGGGCTACCTAAGGTTGATTTGTTTCATCTCTGTGCCATTTATATTCTGCCACTACAAGAACAAACTATTTCTATTCCATCTCCCTCCTCCTTCTCTGACCTGCATCCCCCTTTGACCGTATACTCCCCTTCCCATTCATGATATTGCTGGTCTATCACTGCGCATCTGCAGTTGAGCTCACCAAGAGACGGGACAATAAATTAGTGTCTCAAACTTGATAAAAGAAGTAGAACGTTTTTGTGTAATTCAACAAAAATGTATGGAGATCACAGTTTAAAAAACTATCAAAGCTTAAAGCTCACAGCTCATGATTTGACAAGGTCAGCAGCAGTAGAACAATTTGCTGAACTTCAAATGCAGTGTACAGTTGGCACAGGGTTATAGAGTACACAGTGTACCCCATGTAGATGACTCCATTGTGTTTGTGCAGACACAGACATAGGTAAAAATCAGCAACAGGATCTATAACGTATTGTGCCCTGGAAAATCAAAGAGTGCCTTCCAGCACCTGAGGGATAGCCGGACAAGACCAAGGCGTCCATCAGTCACCATTTGATTGGGCCGTGGGAGTGATTAATGAAGGGCCATGCAACAGGCGCAGATAAGATTACACCTTCACAGGTGATGAAGGACAGGGCCTGTGGCTGTGAGTGGGGGGCTGAGCGATTCCTGGGACAAAAGACTGCCTTCAGATGACTTGGCACACAGTAATTAAAGTTAATGAGAACCCTGTCACTTTCACATACAGCATGGCATTGTGATTGAACAGTGTGTCAAGCAAAACAAAGAAAGGTAATAGGAGGCACTAATTATTCTATGATAGGTCAAAGAGAAGGCGACCATAAGGTGTTGATCAAATCAAGCTACCAAATTATTTTTAGTGTTTATTGAACCTTGGTTGGACAGTACTGTAGTTCAGGTGGAAGACAAAAAACAGTATATATACTTTATGTTTGCCTCCTTTCTTGTTCCTGTCCACATTTGGTTGCACTGCCTGTAACGTGGTAAACTGTCCTCTTGCAACCTATTAAAAGGCAAATTAATTGTAAAATGTAGCAGCTAGCACTGCCTGATCCAGACAACTGCAGTCCTTAAAACAGCATAGCACAAGCTTTCCAGAAACCAGAAACATGCTTTAGTACAACTACCATTCAAGAGTCAGTGAGGCGCATATACTGTACATCCCACAAATACGAATATCTGTTGACAAAGACATAAAGAAACAGTTGGATATAATTTAGTGATGCAGTGCACTTGAGAAGAATTGATCAGCACACCAAGGCTGAAGAGAGAAAGTTACCATTTTCACCACATTACCTGACCAATAATTGGAATATCACCCAATGTGAACTTAAAATGCAGCATGACTGATCAAGACAGAGGAGCACAGAGTCCATGCCAAGGCAATTTCAGAGTAAGTGAATAAAAGAGGCAGAGAGAGAAATGGTAACTGCTGAAATGCTACAAGACCTCAAATTGAACCACCACAGAAATGTAACCTTGTTGCATACCACATTATCTTGCACATAAATGATGCGTGTAATGACATGCTCAGCTGAGCGAGAAATACATGAAGAGACAATTGAATCGATGCAGAAAAATATACAATTCCAGGAAACACCACCGACACAGACTGCAGCAATACGTGAAGCATGTTACAGAGAATTGCATGATCAGAAAAGAAATATTACTAAGTTACTGGTGAGTCAGTTTGCGAAAGTCGCTGTCAAATCAGTTTGTATTTGAAAGGCGGACTGTGGAATATAAATGCAGCTGAGTGCAGCTCTGTGTGTGTACATCTAATTTTGACAATATGTGGTGCGAGTCAAAGAAAAGGCAACAGCGGTCTTTTCCAGACAGCTCCAGTTTGGCAGCCTGTCAGCATTTCCATGGCATTTTACAGGTAAAGGCCAAGAGGGCAGGGAATTGCTGACAGTTTAGTAAGACCAACAAATAGGAGTTAAATGATGATAAGACAGGTGCAATGCATAAGGCAAGTCCCCAAGTGTCAATTTTTTTCACCTTACCTGGGGATTTCCCCATCGCTCATATTTACTGTTTTATCTACAGTCTAAACCCTGTACTCTCTTTTGTTCACCCCATGTCTCTCTCACATACATGCACATTCCCCTCTATTCATTCTTCTCTATGTGCTTGTCTCCTCTGGCTGGAATGAGCTCTCCACTCTAGCCCAGAAGACTATGACTGAGGTCTTCATCAAACGCACAGCAATTCACAAGGTGCCAAGGACAGGTAAGAGTCATTCCTCTAAGGCTGCACTCAGAAGAAACTGAAGAAAGGGGAATAGGCTGGAGCTGGGTTATGTTGCAGCTCTACAGATGATTGTTTGTGACATAGACTGGTTCCTGTCTTCTGCGATTCTTGCAAAAACCTGCCTGGACTTTGAGGAAAAAGCTTCTGATTGCATTAACTACTTGTTCCTACCTTGCTCCAAGTCTGTGTAGATTCTCAGTCATCCAGGTCATAATAAGCTGAAAAAACTTAGAAAAAATCAACTGGACTAGATTTCTAGGTCGAAGATGTTTCACCTCTCATCCAAGAGGCTTCATCAGTTCTGACTGACTGGTGTTGAGCCGGAGATATTTATCCCCCTCGGTGGTGTTTCAGTCCTTTGATGCCCAACAATGTCCCTTAACGACTGATTCGTTACAGCCCAGTATCGGTGAGAGTCGTTAATGAGGGGTGTTCTACCACCCCTCACTAAATAGGGGTGGTGGACTAAGACACAACTTGTCATCAATCTACAGTCCTATTTTGAGATCTCTGCCCAATCATGCCCACCAGGACAAT